ACACACACACACACACACACACACACACACACACACACACACACACACAATGTGCTCCAGCACCTCAGAGCGTCGTCTTCTCTCCAGAGGGGAAAAACACACACATCCTTTTTCCCTCTGTTTTCCCTCCATATGAAGTTCGAGCAGCTTGAGGAGATTCAAAACCTCTCAAACATTTTCTCATTGATGCATCACGATAGTGTGTTTACTCTCTGTATCTCAAACATTTTATTGAAACACTTTTTTTCTGTAATAAAGTATAAAGTAATTTGATGGTAGGAGTTAAGACCGGAGTGTATTTAAGAGGCTGGCATGGATTAAACGATAATTTTTCTCTTCGCTGAGGTTTAGGGTCGTCAAAAATCCAACCAAACGAGGACTCCCTCCCCCCCCCCCCACTCCCTCCTAACATACACAGACACAGCCTCATGGGAATTAATATTATAATATAATCTATGACTAAGCCAGCAGCGGCGGCCACAGTATCAAGAGCAGTACCAGCGCCACCAGAAGCGGTGGCAATAACCAGAATAATTTTGCAGTCGACAGAAATAACACCTGGTATTCTGGACTCCGTGCACGACACATATTGTAGCTTCGTTCCCGGTCTACGCACACGCTCCCGTTTTCTTTCGGCCAGCGAGCTCGCTAAGACTCTGAAAATAACGAAGAATTAGGAGCGTTATTGTTCCCAACATTATCATGATGCTGTCAAAAAACGGACAGTGATTCGTCTTTGATCTGAAGCTGCAGCCTACGGGGACCCGTGACTCAAAAGGTCAAAGTGTGACCTTCACACTATTGACTACTCGTTACCCCATTATCTCGCTTTGCCACTCCGTGAAAAAAGTAACTGTTATTGCCTGAAGATAAACGGAACAAACCCAAACACTTAAGGAGTCGAGGCCGATACGTCAAGAAACGTGAATGTTACGATGCTTTATTTCTTACTAATAAGTGGCATTTGTAACGAATTTGTCCAATCAGTAAAAAAATGCGACGGTATTATGTAATAAATCGTCCTCTTGTTCCAAAATATATAGCTTCATGGATTTGTTCATTAGCTTCATGATTTGTTCATTAGCTTCATGATTTGTTCATTAGCTTCATGGATTTGTTCATTAGCTTCATGATTTGTTCATTAGCTTCATGATTTGTTCATTAGCTTCATGATTTGTTCATTAGCTTCATGGATTTGTTCATTAGCTTCATGATTTGTTCATTAGCTTCATGATTTGTTCATTAGCTTCATGGAGTTTATATCAACCATTCTCAAGACCTTGTCACGTGTTCTACTGTGACTGTGTGTGTGTTTGTATATGTGAGCCTGTTGGGTCAAGCATCAGCTCTTGGGGCCCCGTCTTGACAGCCACAGATTGTCTACACTTATGACTGCAGGTCGACGAACGTGTGTGTGTGTGTGTGTGTTTAATACAGAAATCACGTCCTTACTATTTTTTTTTTTACAACCATGTCCCTGAATGAGGACTGGATCGTTCCCACAGTGCGGTCAAGAGCACAACCACAACTTTTTCAGAACCGGGGAAGAGGAGGTGGGGCACCGGTACTCGTGGGGCACCGGTGCTCCTTGAGAGGCGACCTCCTCATTCTTGAAAGATCACTGAAAATCGAGAAAGAAAAGGAAAAAGCGCTGGAGATTGACAGCCGATACCAGGGAGCATCTTACAGCTGGGATGAAAGACCTTTTCTGGCGGACGTTCCTTATGTCGTCTTTCACGTGTGATAATCACCAGAAAACTGGTTTTTATGAGCATATGAAGTCAGGAATATTCGTAGTAATTGAAGGTTATTTTGGATTATTGCAAGATACGATATAAATCAGTTATTGTACATGTGAATACGTAGCAGCCTACGAGCAGGCCTTTGTACTCGTAAATTAATACATTACGAAGCAATGTCGAGTTGTGATTATAGTTTGTGTGTGTACTCACCTAATTGTGCTTGCTGGGGTTGAGCTCTGGCTCTTTGGTCCCGCCTCTCAACTGTAGAGAGGTATGTGTGTGTGTGTGTGAGCGAGGGTGGGGGAGGGGGGAGTTAGAATCATATTTCTGGAGGCTGTAGAAGCGTCTTGTAAAAGTGAAGAGGACGAGCGGAAAGACTACATAAAGGAGGAGAGATAAGAGGAACAATAGAGTGACATGTGTCAATCATGATGGGTAAGGGTTGTGTGTCTCGTGTGCGTGTGTCTGTGTGTGTATGGCAGTGTTATTGTAGGTGTATGTGCGTGTGTGTGTGTGTGTGTATGTATGCATCTTATGTGTTCTCAAGGAAGACAGAAATTAAACCCATTTGTGAAATATAAAAGTATTGTAAATACTAGACAAAAGATAAAAATAGGTCAAGTGGTGGGTTTGTGTGGAAGCGTCCGCTTTGGCACTGCTGTACAATATCTATAGTTACCCCCTCAGGAGCCTGTACACCAGTAGATTGGCGGTTGATATGCGGGACTAAAGAGCCAAAGCTCAACCCCCCCGAAAGCACAACTAAGTGAGTACAACTAGGTGAAAACAGTAAGCGATTTAATATGGCACAAACATATACATTGTACACTTTAGACGGGAACACGCATACATATTTGTAAATTTGTCACAACATAACAGACTGAATGCCTTATTAATTTAACTCTGTCATTCACCAATTGTTGAAAAAATATATATATAATCGGCAAGTCCAGAGAGAGAGAGAGAGAGAGAGAGAGAGAGAGAGAGAGAGAGAGAGAGAGAGAGAGAGAGAGAGAGAGAGACAGACAGACAGACAGACAGACAGACAGACAGACAGACAGACAGACAGACAGACAGACAGACAGACAGACAGACAGACAGACAGACGGACGGACGGATAGACGGACGGACGAACGAACGAACGAACGAACGAACGAACGAACGAACGAACGAACGAGAGCAATTATCGGATTCATCGTAACCAACTAGACAATTTCCCACTGTCCCATCCACCACAAGAGACACGGGGCTTCAAAAGGTCCTCCTCGTCCTCATTGGGGCCTGAAATATATGACGCAGGAGTGTATGAAAGGGCGAGGCGTCCTGCTCCCTGCCTGCGTAATCCCGCCATATTCCCATGACTGACCAAGCCAGCGGTCAAGTCCCAGTTGTTGACAGTGTGCGGTCACGACCCCTCGACTCATCAACAATCACACCTTGCACACAGGCAATGCAATTCTACTCCGTCTGCCTCCTAAGGGTGAAAATCTTAGTGTCTTAGCCTCCATAATGAGACATAGAGGCAACTGGTCTTTAGTCCGGTGTTTTGTTTCCGTCTTGCATTCTTCGTGTGAGTGGGGGAGTGAAAGGACAATGTCGTGGGAACTGAAGACAATGAAAGAAAACGGAGAAAGGGGGGGAAGAGGAGGGACTAGTTACTATAAGAGAGAGTGGGAAACTTTAGCTATTGGTTTCCAGTACCACAATAAACTAATGCGAGGCTTAAAGATCACCCTCCCCTACCCCCGGCCTCCTCCTCCTCCTCCTCAACAACTACAGAAGGAGAAATACAAAGTGAGAAAAGAATAATGAGGAAGATTTGAGAACAAACCTCAATCTTGGCTGAGAGAAACGTGGGGAAATTCTTTCGGTTTACGAGAGGATCATTTCTGGTTGTGGATCCTTGGCTGCTGGCACTCCAGGAGGACCTTGGCCCCACACACACACACACACACACCCACACACACACCAGTTGATTGACAGTTGAGAGGCGGGACCAAAGAGCCAAAGCTCAACCCCCGCAAGCACAAATAGGTGAGTACACACACACACATGGAATGCATTAGGAAGTGATGTGGTGGAGGCTGACTCCATACACAGTTTCAAGTGTAGATATGATAGAGCCCAGTAGGCTCAGGAACCTGTACACCATTTGATGGCGGTAGAGAGGCTGGACCAAAGAGCCAGAGCTCAACCCCCGCAAGCACAACTAGGTACTCACCTAGTTGTGCATGCGGTGGTTGAGCTCTGGCTCTTTGGTCCAGCCTCTCAACTGTCAATCAACTGATGTACAGGTTCCTGAGTTTATTGGGCTCTATCATATCTTCATTTGAAACTGTGTATGGAGTCAGCCTCCACCACATCACTTCCTAGTGCATTCCATCTGTTAACTACTCTGAAGGTGAGTACATAGGAGTGTGTTTTACCTTAGGCTTGTATTAAGACCTCTCAAGGTCGAACTACCGACCTTGCACCAGGATGCAACCCGACAATAGTTGCATGAATCCCGGGTATCTATTTCTTGCAAGGTGAAGGGAGACATTAGGTGAAAGAAAACGCGCACAAACATTTCTTTCCCGCTCGGGAATCAAACCCTGGAGCCCCGATTATGAGTCGAAGCCAACAGTGCTACGAGAATTGAAAAAGAATTCAATAATATTCACTAAATACTTCCGTCACCCTTCGCTACGCTAAGAGTGCGTAACGTAACACTAATGACATACTAAATACGCCATGAAGTGTCTCTCTAGTGACGTCACGACCATAGTTACGATCCAAGTTAATGACATCACCTGCTAGTCAGGATGTCGTTTTAACGGTATTTGATTTATAAACTTTGTAAACTGTTGACTTAAGACTGTATGACAGGAGTTTCTCAGTGTAAACCCAAAATTTATGTTATTCATTTGTCAAAATTATGAATGTTATAACAAACGAAATTGAGTAAAAGAGCATTTTGGGCAGTAGTTGGTAATACTAAGATTGAATCCGGATTAGATCGTGAAAGACTTGAATAGTTTCCTCCCCAAACAACGATAAGATTAAACTCTAAGAAACCGGAGTATATGTTATTGAAATATTTCTTTAACTATAATGTTCTCGCATCGTTATTGACTCGCTGGAATTACTGTAAAAAAAAATTAGGAAATAAGAATATATTCTAAAAGTCAGAGCGAACTGCGAGGGGACGCAAGGCCTCGTTCACCTGTGCTCGACTTGTCTGGGTAATGGGTAGTTAGCTCTCTCTTACCCCCCCCCCCCCCCAGCTCAGAGACGGTCGTTTCTATCGAGGGAGTGAGACAGTGCGACACAGACGATACGAGAGTGAGAACCAGGAGACTAAGACAGGCGTTAGGGCCAGCAAGACCTCCGGCAGGATACAAGGAGCTTCGTCAGTGTGTTGCATGCACTCTACGGGCAGCACTGACCCCTAGCTGGATAGTAGGAAAAACAAGTGGATAGCGGATACTCACTAGGGCAGCACTGAATCTGGCAGAACAATAGGAACGGCGCCGGCATTGTGGATAGGCGCTAGGACAACAGAGGACGTCTCTGGGACAGTTGAAACGACGTCAGGACAGCGAGGCTGATTTTGTGCAGTGGTGGAGCTGCCTGTGCTCTCGTCAGCCACCGTTGTTGTCCTGTTATTTTGTCAGCATTTCACGGAGACGCTCATTTTCGCGGAGAGAATGACAGGCGAGACATAAAATCCGATTTTTATATTTTGGGGTGGGAGCTAGATCAATTATTTTTTTAAATATAAATAGTATGGGCAGGACGAGGATTTATCAAGCATTTGCGCAACTGCTTGCGAAACCTGTACATTATTTAACAATCGTGACGGTTTTGTTTAAATTTAGAAGCTTCGAAACTTCTCACTAACGTTCTCATTGTTATAAACCTCGTAGTGCTTCACATCTCACTAAATGTTAATATAGCCGTCATGATTGAAAAACTATCTACAGGTTTCGTTAGTAGATGCTTAATGACGGAACAGGGCGTTACTAACCCATTATATCTGGACCTAATCAGACCCTTCAGGGAAAAGGGGGGAAGGGGAGGGGGGGGGACAGGAGTGGTGAGGTAGGAACCAATTTTTTTGTTTTAAATGCACAATGTTGATATTGCATTAAAAAATTCCCTTTGTATTGAAGTCCAATGAGAAAATACAAATATTAGAGCATGTATATTTATACAGTTGAAAATATTGACGTATATTTTGTCTTGACACGACTGGTAATGAAGTTGCTCCCAGCTATTGACAAATACGTAATATAGTCGGCACAATAACCGCAAACCACCTGCTTTCGCACTTTCTATCTACAAAAAAGAGGCATCTACACCTCTGTTCTCTCTCTTGACTCAAGTCTTATGTTGGTTGACAGGCGCGTGGTTGTGTGTGTTGGTGGCGTTGGTCGGGCTCCAGGAGGCTGAGGCTGGTGTCAGGGTGGACAAAAAGCCGTGGGATACGGACTACGACGCAGAGTCCGAGGACAGCGGGAGCCTCCATTACGGCAGGAGCCTGGAGATGGAGAGTGACGAGGTCAGGAAACCCGAGCAAGGTGCGAGGGGGGCTGGTAGTGGGCAAAAGAAGCCCGTGCAGGCCGACGTTGAAGACAACAAAATCCACATCCTGTCGCAAAGTAAGAAGGTTAGTGAAGTTAGCCTGTGTGGGCCTGTAGGGTTGTTGTTTAAGATTAGGCTTCTAGGAACAAAACGTTCAAAGTAGCACGGGTTATGGTGAGCCAGTAGTGGACTTACCTGGCACAGGAGCGGGGCTGGGACTTGTAGGGCGGGGTGATGATATTTGTGGGTGGGTGGGAAAGTGAGGTGCACTACCCCGTTCTCCTAATGAGCACGTCGCATTTTGAAGTATATTTTACCCAAAGTCAAAAACTATGGTACCAGGAAATGTAAGCGGCTCGCAAAATTGGCCCAAAATTTTTAATTTGTTTCGTGGGTCCTATGGTAGGTTAGAATAAGTTAATTTCGTACGGCAGTTTCTTGACGTTGAGAACGTTGTGCTGTAGAATTGTTCTGGCGGTGGGGAGTGACGGTGAAGCGGTATTGCTACTCGGGAATGGAAATAGATATATTATGCGGGAAGCGATTAGGCTAGGGAACTTCATAGCTGGGTTTAAACCCTAGCTCTATCCCTCGTACTAAAATATTTCCTCTCGCCTATTCTCCCATCCGAGCTGGACCAATTGCCTCACCAGTGGTACTTGTACTTGTTAAGTTAGGTGAGCTGTTAGACAGCGGCTAAATGCTGGTTTTTAACATGGGGTACATAGTCATCCACGCGGCTCACCTAGACCATATGAAGGGTTGTAATTAATTTTGTCACGGAGGCAGCCTGTGCTTGCGTCCCTCCTTGAGGACCTCTATGTAAGCCCGACTACTGACCCGGCCAGGATGCACCCCATCACCCCCGGGGTACCTATTTACTACTAGGTGAACAGAGGAATTGGTGATAGAAATGAATAATAAACTATCTATTTTGCACCCCATACCCATCCCGTGGCGGTGGTGGAGACGGTTAGAGGCACATAATCCAACCCGTCCTCGACTTGAAGTCCATTACATCCAGCGGTCGACCCCACAAACGCATTCATAATTTTTTGCATACTGTTCATTCAAATTGGGAGTTTTCTCCTAAATTAATATATTAGCATATTGTGCATATATAGGCATAGGTGTTTAGGTTTAGTTGGCGATTATGTGTAGTAAGTTGGTGAAGCATTTGTAGCGTTGTGGTTCGATCAAAAGTCGTCAGTGAAGCACTTTTTCCGGAAATGTTCGAACGTCAGCAGTTGTTAGTCGTCGTGTAAACGGTTTTTCATTCATAAACAGGGTTTGGCCAGCCCGTCCTCCAAACAGACCCAAGTGATTCCATGCACCCGCCAACCCCCCAACCCCCATATTTATGAATGAAAATGGTTTACACGCGACTCTCGATTGATTTCGTCCGAACACATCCGGAACAAGTGGTTCACTGAATACTTTTGTTCGAACCACAACGTTGTAAATGCTTCACCCACGTACTACACATAATCGCCAACAGAACTTAAACACCTAACCTATGCCTATATATGCACAATATGCTAATATAATATAATATTTTATTTGAGAACTCCCACTTTGAATGAACGGCATGTAAAAATTTATAATGCGTCTGTGGGGTCGATCGCTGGATGGAATGGACTTCAGTCGAGGACGGGTTGGTTTGGCGGGTGCATGGAATCACTTTGTTTGGAGGACAGGCTGAATAATTTGATCTTGGTCAGTGGTTTCTAAGAAGCGTCGAATTATGGGTGTCTCAATATATAACATTGAGACCTGGCTATTTGTTCAAAGTTTTGTTTTTTAAATCTGAGAAATATACTTACTTTATATGCATTAAAGAAATGGTATATCCTAAATGCGTTTAATGACTGCATATTCAATCACTACCCACATCCCCTTTACAATTAGCAGTTTTAATATAATAATCTTTTGTATAAATCGTAGAGAAACATTGAAATAAACCTTAAATAGTAACATATTCCAAAGAAAACGCGACCTTGACAAAAAAACATTTCACCCAACCAACATTGTCCCCCCCCCCTGTTGGTGCCAGTGGACCCCCCCCCCCATCCCCATTCCCATCCCCATTCCCATCTTGTGGGTGCCAGTGCACCCCCAATCCCCATTCCCATCCTGTGGGTGGTAGCAGAAAGAGTTAGAGGCACATGGTAGAATCTGAAACTGAACCCCATCACCCAACCACTAATTTCCAGTGTGCATGTATAATTATGGACTTCTTATCATGCAGGAGGCTTTGAAAAAGAAGGCTCAGGACCAGCGGATGAAGGTCCCACTCAAGGCCAGTGAGGTCGCCGTAAATGTTTTGAAAAGGATAATGGGTAATTTAAGTATTTTTAATTTGTGAAATTGTTGATTCAATATATTTTAATGGCAAAAAATTGTCTAAAATTCAGTGTTAAGGGTTAAATCTCTTAGATTGGACAACATTCGTCAAACAATTTACACAGCAACTTGGAAAAAGTTCACATCATTCCTCCAACATGGCAACTTTGGCTACTGCAATCAGTTTAATCTCCGAAGCACTACGAGGTTGTTACAACATTGTTAACAATGGTTTGTGCAAAGTCAATTCTTAAATTAATAAATGTAAAACAGATGCCATAATTGAGAAAGATGTACAGGTTGTGTAAATACTTGACGACTCCTCGCAGAGCTGAATGCACGGTCATAAAGTTACCTTTGTTTTGGCATCTCTGTAACAGAGCCGTTCTTGAAAGAAGACTGTCTGGAGCTCGTCCTGTGCCACATGGGCCGGGCCTTCTCCAGCATCCCGATGGTGAAGATGGGAGTGGGGATAATGGTGGCTCAGGTCCCCGCCCAGTACTACGACTACGCCAACGCCTTCGTCACGGGCGTTATGGACTCCCGTTGCTCCTACCACTGTGCTATGCTCTACCCTCGCGAGGAATTGTGAGGAGGAAGAGACGGGGGAGGGAGATGGTTTAAGGGCTCCTGAGGGGTGGGGGTCAGTGGTTCTTTTTGGGAGGGTGGGTTTCTTGAGGGTGATTTCCAGGTTCTCTAAGGTGGGTGGTTCCCGGGGTCCCTTTCGAGGGGGTGGAGGGAGAGGGAGGGGGGGGGGGGGTAGTAGTTTCCTGGGGGAGGTGGGAGGTTTCTAAGGCTTTTGATAGTGATATTTTCTTTAGCATTTTTTTATAATGTAATAAACTGATAGATAAGACAGAGGTTTGCTTGACAATGTGATCTGCTTGTGATCAAACAAATTGTGATAAAACTGATGTTGATCAAATTGATATTAATAAAATGTTTAGTGCTGGAAATATTTTCTTTAAAACATCAAAACAAAACTGAGGTTTTAGTAGACATATTGAGCAAGAGTTTTCTGGCTTTAATTATTTTAGTAATAAATTATGAATAATTGCCAGTGGGTAAAATATTAAATAGCAACGCAAATTGAACGTTGAATTGAAGATTGAATGGACGTTGATGGCGTAGTTGACGTCGAACCAACGCCACTTGTAAAGGGTGCCCACTGGGCTGCGTAATTAACTAAGTTACTGATGAATTACACTACCAAGTGGGTCTAAAGGAAAGTTATTTTAACTTGGACTCAACGTTAAGTCAACGATGAGTTGCTTATGGATATTGTATCCACTGGGTAGTAAATTGAACAAAACACTTAATTTTATTTATATATAATAAGTGTTGCTGGCTTCGTTCAACATAGAACAGTGCTGCAAGTGATAGCGGGAAAGCAAACTCGCATTTTAGAACCAGATACCTTTCTGCAGAGGTATCTAGAGCGAGCAACATAAACAGCTGGCAAATATGCAATTATAAAGATGCTTTAAGGCATCTTTATAAGGGTGGATCTTCTGTTCGGCGTTTGTTGGCTACGTGGTATTTTTCAACATGTGTTCGCCCATGTCCATCCTGCGTGTCATAAAGACAAGAATTCGGGTACCTGGAGCTTTGCAGTTATTAACTCTCGTGTTCATGAAGATATCCCCTTAATGCACCCAGACCTCGCCACAGCAGGCTACTGATCACATGGCCCTGGATGACTGACCAGCCTGAGATATATGGAGGAAGGGGTGACGGGGGGGGGGGGGGGGTGACATTTAAGCATCGTGTAACTAGATACATGCACACTGTCCTCCCTTTTCGTATAGTCTAGGGGAGCTGCACGAATGAAGATGTACTTATGTAATAAAAATAAGTGATAGCGGGAAGTATAGGTACATAATGACTAGTGGAACGCCAGTTCAAAATTAGTTTAGATCTGCAAGTTAGTCTTGCTGAAGGCAGTGTAACAGGTTTGGAAAGGTGTGGGAAGTGTTCCATGGCGTCTTCGATTCTTCTCGCATGATCTTTCTTCCCTTTTTTTAAACCTCTCGAAATGAGGAGGAGCAGTACTATCCGTGGCTCCCTGGGTCACTGCCTTAGTCTCGTCCCTTTCGGATAACTAAGACATCTGGCCTCACGGAAGGATGCGTCTTGGTTTGTGTGCGTCGTATGTCGGCCCTTCACCTGTGTTAAGGGCCCTCTTCAACGACCATCTTTCCAACCCCTCTCAAGGAACTGGTTCACTTGTCCTCGGGATATGATTTGGCTTTTGTGTGGTGTTTACGTATTTCGTTTAGATTTACCTTTGATAAATAGTCAGTCCTCTCAGTTTTTTTAGATCCACGTGTGGCGCTGCTGTCTCGGGTGGGGAAAACTTTTTGTAGGAAAACTCTCCTATAGACGTCTCTTGCGGGTCAAGGAATCGCTCTCGATCCGGTTCCCGACTTGGGGCTTCTTGGATACCGGGCGCCAGATTCACGAAGCAGTTACGCAAGTACTTACGAACGTGTACATCTTTCCTCAATCTTTGACGGCTTTGGTTACAATTATTAAGCAGTTTACAAGCATGAAAACTTCCCAATAAACTGTTTATTGTTATAAACAGCCTCCTTGGTGCTTTGGAGCTCATTGTTTAATAATTGTAAACAAAGTCGCCAAAGATTAAAAAAAGATATACAGGTTTACAAGCGCTTGCGTAACTGCTTCGTGAATCTGGTCCCGGGTCCGTCCGGCAAACTGTTGATGCTTGCAACTGGTGGTTTGAGGCAGGTACCGTAGCCAGATTTGTCACTCCTTGTCTGTTCATTAAGTTGACTTTTGAGTGCATTTAAGTGGTCTGTTGTCAATTTTAGTTATAAGGATCGTTGCTCAATCGCTTTAACCATCGGGAATCAGACTTGCAAAGCAAAGTCGTCGCTGTGCAGTCTAGAGAAATTTTGGCAATAAATCAGCAATTTGAATTAGAATAAAATACACCCTCGGAGAGTGTCTGATTTTATACGAGCTTCTCATTATAAGAGTTCTCGAGACACGGTATACAGTACACCAGAGCCGTACACCTCCCGGTATCCAGGAAGACTGTTAACCGACTAACCAGCCACCCGATACAAGTGCGTCCGCACATCTATCTATATTTTGCAACTATCCTTTCACGAGCATAGATCACGCTTCACTCCAAACATCTCTTCCTTCCTCCCGTCCCATCCCAAGTCGTTATCCTGACCCCTTCCAAGTGCTCTATATATATATATATATATCTATCTCTATCTAAAATAATATACATAGTCGTAATGGCTTGGCGCTTTCTGATAGTTCCCTTCATATAGTGTAAGGGGGGGGGGGGGAGGTGGAGGCTGCATAAATGCAGATGTACTTAAGTATGTTAATAAATAAAAAAAAATTCTCCTGGTATTTCCTCTTGGTCTCTGTGCACCCTCTTCTTCTTGTTTTGCTTGAGGGGGTCCTTGTCATTATCGTCTCCTCCTCTTATTCCTGTTCCTGCCTTTGTCTTCTTTTATAGTCTTCCTCTTTTGAGTTTTATTTAGCTTCTTTTCCAGCCATTTTCCGTTTCCTCTATCTTCTCCTTTTTGTTCCTTCCCCTCCCTGGTTCTGTTCTCTCTCTCCCCTTCTGATGCAGCTCTCTCCTTCTCCCTTTGTTATCGGTTGCTGCTGCTGCTCTTTCTGTAAGAGCATATCAATGCTCTTACAGAGAGCCTTTCAAAATATTCTTCGTGCCTTCCTTCAGACGGTCGTCGTCGATAATAATGTAATGAATGTTATTGATTCTTGTGTGTGTGTGTGTGTGTGTGTGTGTGTCGCTTACATGCCTTTCTATCTTAGTCTCTGCTTCATTTAGCGGTCAAACTAGGCACGGAATCTTGCCACGATAGTTGTCTATGCGATAACAAATTTCAGACTACCCACTGTACATCCGTTTCATCTTGATAACCGACCAAAACAAACGCCACGACCGCTGAAAATAACGTCATTCCAACACGCTGCCTTCAGTGAGGTTGTTCCTGTGAGCCAACAACCCCCAGAGGTTCCTGTGAGCCAACAAGCCACAGAGGGTTCCCAGGGGTCCACGTATAACTGGCCGTAAGGCGAGAGGGGCCAAAATAACCGAAGGAAAGGTGGTATTTGCGAGGCCGCGGAGTTAAACCAATAAGAATCTCTAAGTGTCCTGAATATGGGCGATTAGCGCGGGAAACACGAGTGTAAACAGTGGTGCTTCTTTACCTGCGAAAGTTGACGTGTCTTGTATTTCCTCGCATATTGTATATATAATATTTGTAAAAACATTAAATGTATAGTTAGTCATTTCATTGAATACTAATTTTTTTTTTTAAGAAAATCTGTGCGTGTATACAAAATTAAAATATAAAAAAAATATTACAATATATGGCTATTGTTGAAAGTCACTGTTTATGGCTATTGTTGACGAAGCTGCGTTATTCACTAAGCTGAACCATCATATTCCATCACGTAGCGTCAGAGTTTAAACGCTATTACTCTGTAGTAGAAATAAAAGTATTAACCAGGAGAGACAGGCGGTGGGGTGGGTCAAGAGGACGGCACATCTACGCTATTTTGAGACAGACCTCACCACCACGGCTGTAAATTGTGGGCTGTGTGAGCCCCGCCTTGTAAAGGGGATTTGGGTAAATGTGTAATTAGATATTTAAACATTAGTTTTAGCCAAGTGGACCCTTTTTTGTATGTGGTTAAGGTTCAGTTTGATAATAGTGGGAAATTTGGAGGAGGAGGAGGGGGGGGGGGGGTTCTACCTCGTGTATCTGTTGTTGTTCTTCGTGTCTGTTGTTCTCCCGTGTATCTGTTGTTGTTCTCTCGTGTATCTGTTGTTGTTCTCCCGTGTATCTGTTGTTGTTCTCTCGTGTATCTGTTGTTGTTCTCCCGTGTATGTTGTTGTTCTCTCGTGTATCTGTTGTTGTTCTCTCGTGTATCTGTTGTTGTTCTCTCGTGTATCTGTTGTTGTTCTCTCGGGTACCTGTTGTTCAACTTGTACATATTGTTATCCGATCTACTAGGATATATTGTATACTTGTGCTTCTCACTATTACTCCATTCACCATCTACTTCTCACTATTTTCTACCTCTCCCATCTACCTGGCCTCGCCTACGTGTCTCCGGCGATTCTGACCACCGAGATTCTCGCTGTATCCATTGCTCCCTCTTTTCTACCCTCTCCTTCCTCTCACCACCAGCTCTCCTCTCCTCTCCTTCCTCTCACCACCAGCTCTCCTCTCCTACCTCTCGCAGCCTCTTTCCCCCTTCAACTAACCACTACTTCCGTCACCCTAACTAGCCTAAAACCACACCTCTCAACTAATCCTTTATTCCCCAACACAATTATGGCCTGAATGGCTTGTCTGGTGGGTAGGGTTGTTACCCCCTCCCATCCCCTCCTATTACCCCCCTCCTTCCCCCTATTCTACCCCTCCTTCCTCCCCCCCCCTTCCCATGCCTTTCTCTCTGGATTTTTTTTTCAGAGGTGGGTATAGGAGTAGAGGAATTCTAACTCCCGTTAGCAGTCTGAGAGTTTTCCCTTTATATTGCTTATAGCAAGTCTTGTATCCACTAGTTTTCTTAGTGGGTAAGGAATTGCTTAACAGTTGAGCAATTAACCAGCTCGTTAACCAGAGTTTCAAATTATCTTTCAGCCTGTCTATCCTACTAAGCCTGTTTAGCCTACCGAGCCTACCTAACCTACCGAGCCTGCCTAACCTTGCTCGCCTGCTGGCTGGCCAAACTACCAACCCTAACACCTTTATTTATTAACCCTCGACATGATAATTTTAACATTAAAAATATCGAGAGGAAGAGAGTTCAATCATTCATTTTTCGTTTCCAACCTTTCTTCCCCACCTGGGGATCCTCTGTCGTACTGATGACCGTAATTGTAGCGTTTGATATCCCAGCCAGTGGGAAATTTATTCACGAGGTTGCTT